TTTAGATACTGTTTCCGTACCCATTCGTCTTGCTCAATCTATTCAACTTGCTCCGCATCATGAACATATCGTTTCCTTATATGCACCTGTATCATCTGCTTTATCTGTTTCTTATACACCCGATCGTGTTTTATGTACGGAAAAGCAACTTGTTATCTCGGACGCTATTTTAAAAATAAATCGTTTTCATACTTATATGCTCATTCATAATTCGGTTAACACTCCATGTACATTACGGGCACATACAATTCTCGGTCACATTACTTTTTTCCCTTCCCAGGTCAATCACGCTCGGCAGTAAACGGCCGTTCACTAACCAAATACGGCGAAAAACGGCAACTGTTTACGTTTGTCATACACGGCACCAGTAAACGACGATTTACAGCATATTACCGCAATCGTACACAGTGCCCGTAAAAGTTCATCGTAAACTACTAACGTAACAATACGGTGAGCATATACTCTGGTCGGAAAATAACGTAAGGCATCGTATACGTCAGCCGTTTCCGGTGATCATTTACAACAGTCGTATATGATGCTTTACGGCATACTACGGCGATTGTAAACATTAACCGTAAAATATCATCGGAAACGACCAGCGTGGTAAAACGGCGACTGTACACGCTGGTATTATTAAATGTCGTAAAACACAGTGTACGGGAGCAGTATACGCTAGTCACTTACGGCGATAGTAGACGACATTTTATGATGATTTACGGCCGATGTAAACAATTGCCATAAACAGTCACCGTATACGACTTCTGTAACAATATGCCGACTGTATACGTTCATCCCATAATATCGCGACGCACCGTCTTTGTTTATTGTAATTCGTTCGATATAGAATCACTATTTGTTATTATATTTCATCAGAAACGATCTATCCATGGAGAGTTACGCCAGCACTCACACATACGGCAATCGATCGATAGACCGTTTCCGAGAACCCTAGGATACGCCCGACCATCGCTATCACTTGTGTCCACAATAAGCGAGAAAAGTGCCTCTTAAACATGATTAGCCGGTTTCAACTGGTCCACGACACCCTGATTTGTCAATCTCGATGAGGGAACTGGAAGAAACCCACACATATATCCATCAATCGATAGAGCACCCTCGATAACCCAGCTCGAGCATTATGACGACCGTATACGGCCGTTTACGGCGCCGTATACCGCCGTATTTCCATGTACCGTATTACGGCCGTATTTCGCCGTGTCGTATACGGCCGTAATACGGTACATGGAAATACGGCTGATTTACGGCCGTTTCTGGTCGCTATAATGCTCGCTCTGGGTTCCTTTCCTACCCCCATAAAACTTACTTCACTCTCTTCATCAAAAGATTTATCATTTCATGGTATACCATTATTGTCTTCTATTCAACCGTCTTCTACTCCCATTACTTCCGATCTTGATTCGATTCTTCAAAATTTACTATGTCATATCCTTGACGATAAAGAGAAACTTGATTTTTTGACTATTCTTCGGCAGCATTCTCGTGTATTTGACTCATCTAAACATAGTATTGCTAAAACTCACCTTCCTCACGTCATCGTTACCGGCGATCATCCACCTATCACTATCTGCCCTTATTATCGTACTGTTGCACAACGTAAAGAACTTCAGACTGAAGTCGACAAACTGCTCTTGGACAATATAATTCGTCCTTCCACTTCTCCATGGTCTTCTCCTGTCATCCTGAAGAAGAAGCCTGATGGTACCTATCGATTTCTAGTAGATTTTCGTCGACTTAATTCGATAACCGATAAAGATGCTTATCCACAACCTACTGCTGAGGAACTAATTTATCGTCTCTCTGGGCATAGTTATTTCACTAAACTCGATTTGAAGAGTGGTTACTTCCAAATCCCTATTGCCGAATCTGATAAAGAGAAAACTGCTTTTGCCACTCCTGATGGACATTATGAATTCAATGTACTAGCTCAAGGTCTCATGAATGCTCCTGCTAGCTTCCAACGCGTCATGAATAATCTAATAGCAACTGGTCGTTGGGATTACATAGTAATTTATCTTGATGATATCGTCATTTTTTCTCATTCTCTAGAAGACCATAAACGTCACGTCAACGAAATTTTATCTATCCTTGATGCCGCTCATTTTAAAGTTTCTCCTTCCAAATGTACAATCGCTGTTCAAAAAATTGAATTTCTCGGTCACATCATTACACCTACTACTGTTGAACCATCTTCAGAAAAACTACAAGCTATACTTGATATTCCACCACCTTCTACTTTGTCACAAGCGAATCGTTTTCTTGGTAAACTTGGATACTATCGCAAATTTATACCTGATTTTGCCCGCATTGCCGCACCTTTACATAAAGTTACCAATAAAACTCGTACTAAACGACATGAATTTTATTGGCATCCTGAACAACAAGCTGCTTTTGAAGAATTCAAGAAAATTCTCACTACCGCTCCGCTTTTTCTTCATTTTCCTGATCCTTTGGTACCCTTTATTTTATCTACCGATGCTAGTCTTACTCTTATTGCTGGTGTTTTAAAGCAACAAACTTCAACTGGTCTCAAGATCTGTTATTATAAATCTCGGTTGCTCTCTTATATCGAACGTCGATACTCCGCTACAGAACGTGAAGCACTTGCTATATGTTGGTGTCTAGATCAATTACTTTCATGCATTGGCAACTCCTCTATCCTTATTGAAATCGATCACAAACCACTTGCCAACGTGCATAAAAAGCATTCATTTGGCAATAAACGTATTGATAATTGGCTTTTAAAATTACAAGATCTTTTGCCTCAAATTCTTGCAATAAAATATCGTAAAAGTGTTGATAATGCTGGTCCTGATTTTTTTAACTCGCTGTGAACCATTGGACTCCTCTTTATCTACTATTCCTTCTTCTCTCGATCTTCCTGGTTCTTCTTCCAATTCTTCACGTCCGCTACCCCAACGTACTTCATCCATTCGTTCTCATCCATCTGATTCATATTGGTCATCTGGTACTGAAATATGGGATCCAATTGTTCTCTCCCCAGTCGTCACTCGATCCAAGTCTCGTGCCGTCTCTCGTCCGCAATCTCCTAATCGTTTATCTAATGACAATGATGCTGACGACTATTTTGATGCTCTTACTGGTACTGCTGTTCCGACTTCTTCTCCTACTACTACTACATCCTTTTCTTCTAATAATTCTCCGATCGATCTTAGTCTCACTCGCATCAAAACTGAACAGCATTCTGATCCACAGATCTTACATCTTATTCAACAGCTCCGTAAAAACAACTCGCATTCTCATTTTATTTTAAAGGATGACATTGTCTTCCGTATCGTTTCTGGTTTGGATACCACTCATTCCTCCCATGTTCCTTACCTTCCAAAATCCCTTATTTCCTTAGTACTCCGTACCTATCACGATCATTCTCTAAGTGGACATTTTGGTGTACACTGTACTCTCTCTCGTATTTGTGATCGCTTCTGATGGCCTAATATGCGTGCATCTATTCACAATTATATTGCTTCATGTACTCAATGCGCTCGACATAATATACTTCGTACTAAGTCACCAGGTCATCTTAAATCTATTAAACTTCCCTCCGACGTATTTCAAGTCCTTCACATGGATTTTTGGGGTCCTGTCCGAACAGCTTCTACTCGTGGGAATCGCTATGTCATCATTCTCACGGATAATTTATCTAAGTACGTTATTGCTGATGCACTACCTGACTGTACTGCAAAATCCGCTGCTCAATTTTTTATTGAACGATTTATTCTCCACCATGGTGCTCCTGAACGCCTTATCACTGATAATGGAACCCATTTTAACAACCATCTTCTTCGTGCAATCACTTCTTCCATGAACATAGCTCATGCCTTCTCTGTCTCTTATCATCCCCAAACTAACGGACAAGTAGAGCGGTTCAACGCTACTTTCGCCGCCCAGCTTGCAAAATATTGTGATCCGGAGCAATCAGACTGGGATCTTTATCTTCCTTCTATTGTCTATGCATACAACACCAGTATTCATTCCATCGCCAAATTCACTCCTTACGAACTTGCTTTTGCACGTTCTCCTAAAAGTCCCTTTGATTCAACATCACCTATCCTTATCCTGCCTCCCGCTCACATCTTTTATCCTTATTTACAACGCACTCGTCGTCTCATTACCGCTAAAGCTCGTACAAACATCCTACATCATCAGTCATACTGGGCACAACGATATAACCAAAATCGTCGTGATCCTGTCTATCGCGTTGGTGATCTTGTTTATGTTCAAGTATCTACCGATCGTACTAAACTGGACGCTCGTCGGCTTGGACCCTTTATTGTAATCCAAACTTCCGGTCAGCAACACTATCTTGTTAAAGATAATCTTACTGGTCGTACCGATTGGTATCACGTTAACCAGTTATATCCTGTCATCGAACGTCATCACTATTACTGATTTATTATTCGTATCTTCATGCTTACTCTTGTTAACTTTTTACACTCTTCTTCTAGTGTACTGATACGGGTAGTGGCAACCCGCACGTCTTTTATACATATTTTTTATTTTTACTCTCATCCTTCTGGATTATTCTATCTCCTTAGTTCTCAATATCGTACTTCATTCCTCACTTATCTGTATCATCATACGACTCTTCTCTCCTGGCATTATGCATTCTTTTTCACCTTTTATCTTCTCTCTCAATAACATTCGTTGTTCTTTTCTTTCGCTCACACATCATTCAATTTATTCGTCACTCAACAAAAAATACACTTTTTTTCATCCGGTCATAATGGCTATTGTTGTTCTTTCTACGCTGCTTATGCTGCTTTATCCGGTCAACATCCTTGCAGCTCTCATCAACACGAAACTTCTTTCACCATCTTCGAACGTACATGTCGATGTTATATATTACCTCACGGCTTCTCTCGATTCTCATGCCCAACAATTTCAACATACCTGGCGCGACTATTCCATTATTTTTCTTCTCGTCACAGTCATTGGTGCTTGTCTCCTCTTTTGTTGTGGCGTTACAATTATCTGTATCTATCGTCGTCTTTTAATGCAACTTCTTCGTCGTACTACACCTGCACCTCCTAATCGTCAATCTAGTTCTCCCTATACCATCACATAATCTCCCACTTCATCCATCATAACAACTTGTTACACTCTCGCACATTTTATTCAACTTTTCCATTACTTTAAATTTTGCTTGCTTACCATGTTCACTGCTCGCTTGATGGGGGGAGGTGTCATGGCCGATGGCCATGATAAATGTTCTAGATGAACTTCTAAATACTCTTCGTTGCATTCTTTGCTTCTTTTTTTTTCTTATTCTTGTTCTTTTCTCCCCCTCTTTTTTCCGCCTCTCTTCACATGAGTCACTCTCTGAGTAAGAGAGCATGGTTGACATGCGATACATGAGAGGTGGATATATATATATTTTGTTTTTTTTGTTGTGTGTGATTTTTGTGCATTTTTTTTCCAAAATATATACAATGAATGTTTTGCCTTGAAGAAGAGTGTATTTTATAACATAAATCACGAGCATCTAAGCGCTAGTTGTCAGATTTTTCTCTGAAACATGCATTTACTCGTAACCGCTTTCGACTCATAAGAGTTCGGACACAAAACCATGGAACCGCCATGCAAGGATTTAGAATGCGAGTAAACGCATAAACTTGCATTGATATGTAATGTGGAGAATAAATTTCAGAATGTCTACGTCTACATGCCAGCACATAAACGTGCAGGTGACCCATTTCTACGCAGAATTCATTTTGTTTCTCTGCCAACATATTGTCGCACGCAGAAACTTAGAATTTGGTAAACATTCATACAAGATGTTTCATAAGTCTTGGAACGCAACATAATTCGTTTATATGGACACATAGAACATTGTTTAATTATTATATTTCTATATCAGCTTCAAGTACTCGTGAAGGCCTTTCAAATGTTATATTATTAAATAACATCTTTCCTTATAATAATACTAATGTAATGATAAATTTTTCGAAATCGACTAATACGATTTTTTTCAAAAGATTTTCTAACAAGTAACGCTCACCGCTTCGACTCGCTTGATCCTCGACTGTATTATACGATTGGCCGAAGTCTCCACCCAAAAATCACCTGATTGGCAGAATTTCGCACCCCAAAATCATCTGATTAGCTGAACTCCTAGCCCGAAAAAATCTGATTGGTTGAAATGGGTGTGGGTGTGGGTGGGTGTGAGTGGGTGTGGATGTGTGCGTGTGGGTGTGGATGCGGGTGTCAGTGAATGATAGAACTACTACCAACACCCACACCCACACCCACTCACACCTACCCACAACAGAATTCTATATTACCATATATAATATGGACTCCCCTTCGATAAAACAAAATTCTGGTTAAAATTTAAAAAATACAGCGGAATTTTACTAGAATCTCCATAGAATTCTAGTACATCCAGCAGAATTCAAACTTCATCACACATAAGTCAATCGTTATCTAAAACTTCATACACACACCATAGTATATCAGAATTCTGCTTAATACAGAATTCTATTCAGAAGTGAAAAGGAACAACACAATTGTACATTATTACATATTAAAAAAATGTACAAGTCTACAAAATTCTGATACAACATCAGAATTCTGCTCTGAATTTAAAAAGCAACAGAATTCTACGTTAATACAGAATTCTATGCAAAATTGAAAGAGGGGCTGCAGAATTCTTACCAACAGAATTCAGAATTTAAAAATCCAATTGGTAAACAATGGATTAATCCAGTAACATAAATTCCCAATAGCAAACAAACCACTAAGCATCATTAGATTTTCCATATAAGAACGAAAAGTGTAATTTTACGTAATGTGAATCTAATATGCATTTTAGTTGCAAAAATATGTCTGACATTGTCTTGTTCATCTCTGCTTCATTATCTGAACTTGATTCGAGTATATTTAGGAAATAAGATTTTCAGCTGATAATATCATTTAAAAAATTTGGTTTTTTTCTTCTTTAGTAATTATCTAGTAACAAATGATCGAGATTTTTCACATCTATCATATTGTAAAACATTTAATAATGTTTCAATCTTATATTGAAATGAACTATTGAAATAAATGTATAATTATTTCAAAACGAAAACGAAATAATATAACTTTTACGATTGAAATAAAATAGAAAACAATTATCTGATTACATCAATTTAATTATTGAAAAAATTAATTTTATTCATTTCAATTTTTATTTTTATTTTTATTTTTTGTTTTTATTGATGAACCATTCTATGACTTTTTTTTTATATCTGCAAATGTATTCAAATCTTCACTGAAATGACAATAAAAATTCAACGGTATGTAAAGCATTCAAGAAATCTATGTAGAAGAGTAGAGACAATTGTTTGTTTATTTTTTGAAATAAAATTCATTATTTTACAGTATATTTCGTGTTTATTGAATTTATGTGCGAAAAATAAGTGAAAACGTTTTTCTTGTAACACATCTTCACAATGTTGGTAAAGACAGTGAACAAGAACGTATTCTATCGTTATTAGTATTATAAGGAATAGACAAGTTTAATTCACACATAGATGTAATCAGGGACGAAATAAAAACCACAAATGATCTCGTTCATATTAACTTCAATTCTTGAAATCTTCTTTACTATTGTAAAAATCTTTAAATTTATAATTGATTTTGCTTTGTTACAGTTAGTATTCTTTTCTTTCATCTGTTTCAAGTATTAGTATATAGTACAGAAATATTACTATTTCAAGAAATAAATCAAATAGAAGTAGAAAAAGAAAAATATGACCAACATAATATCTGTAAATCTCTTGCAATAATATGAAATAATCTGAATTTTTTGTAAATCATTCTTGAAGTATGAAAATTAAAAAGATTATCATACTCTCGAAATTTGAATCTATAAAAATTTCTGTTAATGTGTTTTTATACAACGGGATTTTTCGTTCTTCTCTATAAAATCAATATATTCACTCTATACTATGAAGAATTTACAACAAGAATAAAGGATTCAATTCATTTTATTGATATATTAAGAAAATTTCAGAAAAGTTCAAAAAGAAGAATTGATTGTTCCACAAAAGAAAATTGTGCACTGAAATTGATTTCTTAACCAGTACAATCTTGTGTGCTAGTATTGAAACGAAGTCCTTTGGCACAGGATCTTCGTTCTAGTCGTACTGCTGTTAATGAAAATAAAAGTTATTAATATACGAAAAAAAAACAAAACAATTTTTCTGACTATCTTACATCCGTTCCTGTCCAAGCATTCGAAATATTTTCCTTGGTCATGCATCTCATTGTCACGAAATTTGCCAGGAGCAGAACAACTAAAATATCCTAGAGAACAGAAATTTTTTTTTATGGTTTATTAAAAAGAAATATCAATAAATACGATCATCACATTTGACGCTACGATAACCCAATAGACAATCACAGTAGGCAGTTCGTGTTGCACCAATCACAATTTCACGACAAGTAGCATCATTCAAACATGAAATGGACGAACAAACACCCGAAGTTCCTATAATAAAACTTTTTTTTCCTTGAAATTAAAATAGAAGAAATATCTTTACCTTGTATTTCACAATATTCTCCCGAGAAACCAGCTCGACAGAGGCAAACACATTCATACGAACCGTTTGGATTTCGAATAACACCAACGCCTTTGTTTTTGCAAACAATATTTGTACATAAATCAGTAACTGAACAGAAAAAAATCAAATGGAAGGAGTAGACTGCGATAACTAGTAGAACAAAAATATCTACCTTGCTGGTGCTCACACAATATACCATTATAACCACTTGGACATTTACAAATGCCATTGATAGAAACACCACCATTGTGACACGCTAATTGAGTAGTTGAAGAGGCAGTTGCGGTCATCGTCGAACTTGCCAGTGGGACTGATAAGGTCGTAGTCGGAGCTGTCGATGTAACTCTTAAGTCTATAATAAAAAAATGATAATTATCATTTGAAAAAAAAACAAATAAATATAATTTAAATTCAAATAAAAAACCAATTCTTATGTATTACTAACCACAGTCACGGTTCGTTGTTAGCGCTGGTGCACCCGTACTTTGGTCCAAGCAAAGACATGCATAGTTCGTGTTCAAGTCAGTAGTCTCAAGACATGCAATTAGCTTTCCAGTTGCGTTGCTGCATACATTTAGTTGAGGATTGCTTCGATGGCAAACACCTGTGAATATGAAGAGATTTTTTCTTTTCTTTTGCTATATTTTTATTCTCATACGGCAAGGTCTATTCTCTTCGTATCCGCCTGGACATGTGCAAAATACACGGTTGGGGTCTACCGGGATGCATTGGTATCCATTTTCCATTTTATAAAAACTATTATCCAGCTGACAAGGATTGTTGCCATTGCAGTCTAAAAGAAAATGCATAAGATTATGTAAGTATATTTTATTATTTTTACCAAATAATTGTCCTGATGAATATAAAAATACGGTAAAAATCAGAACGACAATCAACGAATTCATGCTTGTTCAAAGTTGTAAAATGTGAATGTCTTTTCGACGATTGATGAGAGTGTTTTTATATCTGAATAACAATTAATCATGTTTTATCTTTTCTTTTCAATAACAACTATATCAAATTTAAATGTTATTAAATAGGTTCTAAATATCAAAAATATTTCAACATTATTTATGATTAACATATCAAATATCTAAAAGAAAGGGAAGCTTTTGATGTTCTGATGGCAAAATATTTCATAAATATAAAATAAGTTATGGGGGAAAAGTTCGCGGCATTTTTCCAATCTATAGATCTTTGCAACTATTTGAGCAATTCCAATAAATAAATAGTTATTTTAAAGAACATTTCAAAGTCCACTAATTGTGTAAAAATAAAGGTTCTAGCTCAAGAAGTAAGAGCGTCAATAAAGAAAGTTTGTTACATGCGTTTTTGGTTCTCAAAAAAATAGCAGGTGGAGCAGATTAAATGGCCGCATATTGCATTTCAATTTTTCATCACATAATACTTTATATTAAAAAACAAAATATTCCAGAAGATGCCGTATGAAAAGCTCTACAATCTACAAAGTAAAGCTCATTTTGATTGTGGGTGCGGGTGTGGGTGTGGGTGTAGGGTGGGTGTGGGTGTAGGGTGTAGGGTGGGTGTGGGTGTGGGGTGGGTGTGGGTGTGGGTGTGGGATGGGTGTGGATGGGTGTGGGTGTGGGTATGGGATGGGTGTGGGTGTGGGTGTAGGTATTTCCATCATTCACATCCATACCCACACCCACACCCTTAATAGAACAGAAACAGAAATCATTGTATAAGATGATTGAAAACACCTAGAGACAATTAAACATTACATATGCAATCTTTTCCTCATTATAAATGTCGACAACGTAAGTGGCATATTGTCGTTTGTTGAAAAAAAACCTCTGAATTATGTAGGTGGTTCTATATGCATTCGACCTGCATACTTTGTGTCATGATGTTCTAGAAAACCGCGAGTTGTTAGAAATTCATTTGACTTATGTTATAGAGATTTATATCTCGAAATGATATAAAGATTTTCAAATCTTTAATAGGTTCTTAGATGAAATCGTTTATCGTTCTTATGTTGATAGAAATTCCTTTGCGAAAAATTCACATTGCTTCGCATCATATTATCTTCTATTCACATATTAGAAAAGGTAATTTTTTTTGTAAGAAACTCTCATAAATGTTTCAATTCAAAATGGATTAAATATATTAAACTCTTTTAATGAAAAAGAAGATTTTCTGCAAAATGATATTCTTAAAATAAATTTGATCTTCTTCAAAGCATGAATAATATAGTATATCAATAATACTACAGGTAAATACTTTTAAGAGAATGGAAAACGACATACTCGGATTGTATTGCTAAAATAAAACTAAATTTTTTTCAATATACTTGAGACTATAGAATGTAATCTGACGAAAATCAGAGAGAATCCTATAATTCTATTTCTTCTTCAGCTATCATGATAATGTAAGAATCTTGATCAAAATTATTCACTTCTGAATTAAATAGATAAGTAAAACTTTTGTTTCTGTTTTCTTGTGATCGTCTATGTCTTAGAACAGCTGAAATATGATACTAAATATCAATAGAAAGAAAAAACTTTTTTGGCTTAATTATTTATTTCTGTAAATTAAAAAAATTCATTCAATAGATTGATTGTTTGATTTTTTATTTTTTAAGGTGAAATAATCAAGTTCTAACTTTTGAAAATAGTCGTGGTGAATATTTCGAAGTTTATCAAACTGCACAAACAAGTGAAATAAACACTCATGTAGTGAGAAAGAAAAGAGAAATAAATTTCTGTTCGAAATACTGAAATAATTACATAAAATGAAAATGTTTTTCTAGTCATCAGCTACTCATACTAGGTTCACCGAAGATGTTACACGTCATTTTTAAGTCTAGTATGCACAGAATTGTTTTATAATGTTACCAACATTAACAAGATATACTAGAAGAATAATTATCTCATTTACTTTTGATTTTTAAATTGAAAGTTTTGAATGATCAATAGACTTTTTCGAGATAATATTTTGATAAAATAGGTATAATCTATTCTAGATGAAGTACTTTCTTCGAATATACATATATGAATTTATTGTCACATGATAAATAATAGAAAACGTTTTTCTCATTGTTATGTTGTTGTATAGAAAGAAATAGATACCATCTTATTTTATAACATGTCAGGTGGTTTCGTAACCTCACCCAATGAGAGTTTCTTGTGCTTCTTACTGCACGCCATACCAACGTCATCTCCTACTAATCCGGCGTAGTGCACTCTGCGTTTTACAAATGTTAGGTTTATAAGGTCGAGTGTCGATGCCATTGAAGTTGAAGAAAGGAGAAACATCTAAGCGCACATATACATACCCTACAGGTATGAATAATTTCGGTAAACACTTATTTCAAGAGTATGGTAAACTTGGTCTCAATGTTCGATAATGTCATCTGTGTTCATATGTTACATTACTTAAATCAAAATATGATTATTATCAGAGAAAAATCTTTATAAATTAAGCTATATAAAAAGAAAAGTTTATGAAAGATCAGTACAGATGTATTGTATTTCTACATTGAAATTACTCTTCTATGAAAAAAACTTTCTATAATATTTAATTCAATTATCTTCATAATTATAAATTTTACTTTTATTAATCAACAAAAACAAAAGAAGAATTATGATCTAATGTATTGTTACTATTGAATCAGCTTATATAAATGGTAAAAATTGTACAATATTAATTGATACGGATGTAATGTATCCAATTGATATGTCTATTGATTTTGTATTGAAATTCTCTTTTTCATTAGATATGTTTTGCATGTCATTTGTATTGAATTAGTTATAAAAATCGTTTATTATATATTATTGAAAACTTTGAAGATGAAATATCTGCGCTTATCATTTATTAAGAGGATATTCAACCAGGTCTCAGATAAAACAAAATAGTAGAAAAGTAAAAGAAAAAATTTAAACGTATAATGGACGTACGTATCTGAAAATTCAAAAGAAAAATAAAACAATGTGAATATTCTTTTTCTTTAAAATAATGTTGCTAAACATGAAAATGTTTTATAATATTATTATGTATCCGATACAGTTTACTTTTAATTGATATTCTTACTATTGGTTTAATTCAATTGAAACATAAAGAAAACTAATTTAACGAGATAAATTTTTGATGTCCAATGAACGGACGAAAATCTTTAAAGTGTTTAGGTTTTAACTAATAAGGAAAGCTCTTCAGATGACAAAAAAAGCTTTCGAGTCTATATTTCTACAGTGGCAAACGATATATTGATTAGAACAGCCTCCGAAGAGACAGTATGGACGTTAAGATTTTACCGATATTTTGAGTGTGGGTATGGATCCTCTCTTCATTCATACCCTAAATTGACAAGAGTACAGGATATACAAATGTTGCAGTGTTCATGATTAATCATGTCGACTGATTTACATTGATAACTATAAGAATAATAGATGTTGGCCATGAAGTGTTGGTATGTAAGTGAATATTCTCTATAATAACAAGCAAGAACCATATTCTGACGTATATTCTATGCGAAATAAACTTCCTTGTATGGGAATTTGTCTTTCATTGCTCTGTTATCTTCAGTGTTACAATTAAATATTAAATAAAACAAAAGACAGATAAAGAAGATCTCTGATCGAAATGTATTTTTTTGGGGTGTGGGTGTGGGTGTGTGGGTGTGGGTGGGTGTGGGTGTGGGTGTGGGG